TTATGAAACTCTCAAAGCATCAGCTGGGTGATAATTAATCAAAGTAATTACAACAGCAGCTAAAGTATAAACCAATTACACGGTAAAGTATGTGAAGTCGGATATAGGTAGCCACATAACTCATAGTTTATAGGGACTAACGAGGGGCGAAAATTAATGATTATGTCAAGTGGTCAATTGTTGACCATAGTTAGAAACAAGAACAGGAAGAGATATTGTATTGAGCAAAATATAATGAATATTGACGGATGCTTCAGATTAACGCTTAGATTAGATGCCATTAACGTCCAGTATCCAATAATGTGATGGTGGAAAATCCTAGCATCAAGTAACTAATGAGCGCAAAGTGCATCACATGAATTACTCTACAAATATTTGTAGCATCTCGGTTTCTCATATAGAGAGTTCAAAGAAATTTATCGACGTCCTAGATCAACAAGAAGATATCTTCAGTACCATCCAGTCTCATTCTTTGTTCACCACCTCCCAAGCAAGTTCTTTAAAAAGAGTAACAGTTTTTGATTTATCCCCTCTACGTATCTGTTAAACAAGGTTTATAATGTATAGGCGAAAGACAGTGCAGAATTCTTACTCCACTAACACTGGCCAAACTTTACAACAGATCTCAGGTGGCAAAACGTGGAAACCTTAGGCAATGGATGTATATTGAATCTTCAGATGAACTCATGTGTGGTTATTTACTCGACCTCACTTCCCAGTGTGATATATCTGCGAAATTCACTTTATGAGTTTACGGAGATTTCATGGCCCGTGGAACAGAAAGTGCGATTTTCGACTGGACACTTGTTGACGGCGGTGCATGAGCTGACCAGCTGAATGGATATACAAGGGCTTAAAAACGCCGTAATAGTCGTCGATACTTGTAGTTTATGTCTACGTGTTTAGCGACTGCATCTCACATGATACAAAGAATGAGTTCTGTCGAAGGCTTCTGCTACATATAGCAGAACTGCAAGACATTTGTAATGGTGGACTACTTCAGTGTTCACGCAGGTAAGCTGAACCCATTGGTAGGGCCTTTTGTAGGTGTATATGGTGTTACATGCCAAGGAACCAACGACGGTGTTCGTTCCTTGCAGTTTTCTCCTGCTTACCACTTGTTTCTGGCCAGCCCTAACTTCAGGGATAAGAAGAGATGCTCTCAATAGGTGTCTGTCTACATCAAACCAACGATGCAAACAGATAGATCATATCTCAGTAAGTCATTGTTGGACAATCACTAAACTGTTAAGGTAGCTGCTTGGACTCCAATCATTCATTGGTATGTGTACCTGTACGTTTGCTTCTTAATAGGTGCAAAAAACACTAAGAAAGCATCTTTGTGTTTGACTGAAAGGTGAGAATATTAAATGTGAAGAGCTGGTTGAGCATTCAACTAAATACGACGGTTAACCCCATCTAAATAAGTACTCGAACAATTAACAGTTTTGCTGTAGAAGCAGCAAGGAAGATAGTGGGTAACAAAAATCTAAAGACTAGCTAAAGCCAGTGAATATCTGTAGCTTCATACGAACTGAATTGTACGAAAAGATTTACTCTGCATGGCTTTGGTCACAATGATCAGCGATAGCAAATTGAGTCTGAATAGACTAGCAGGCTTCGAAATGATGGGGAACAATGATGAGGAGCGAAACTGGAAGACAAGGAGGAGGAATCTGATAACACTTGCTAGTTATTTTGGTTGATGAAGCAAACTGGTTGAAATGAGATTATGATCAGTGAAACTGTCATTGTAAAAGATGGGTTAATGATAACTTCTAAGGGTCAGTAACTGGAACTTTAGGTGCAGTAATTTTGGAAATAGTTCGACTGACCTACCGCCGCATTTCAGATACCCAAAATCAGGTTGAAACCTGAATGGGATGTGGATGTCGGTCTTCCAACTCTCACTGGTGTTGGAAAGGTTGCTTCATACTTGGAACAATGCAAATAAGCATAACTTAGTGATTTATCGCCAATTTTCAATAATGAAAGTAAAGAATTACTAGTTAGAGTAAGGAGATGTCAGCTAGTGTACAGGAATCTCAGGAACTACCGTGAGACTGACTAGACCTAATGATCAACCCAACTTATAAAGAAGGAGAGGAGCCTCCAGGTTGCAGACACAAAGGAATCCATCTGACTAATATTATGCATAAGAACCTAAGGTCTATAGTCATCCGAAGCCTTACTAGAGCTCTAGAAAACCGGGCAGCTTTGAGACATGTACGCAAATACATTGGTCAAGTTTCCACCGTGTGACAGGTTTTGCAACAAAGTCTGTGCACAACACTTACTATGTTTCTTCACCAGTGGGTGGTATTTCATTCCATTGAATAAAATCTGTTGTAGCTGTGTCTGACTGTGAAGCAAGTACCGAGCAAGTATATTATGCTAGTCAAAGATATCTGCTCATGCCCATTATGCCGTGTGACAGCTTCCCGAAATTTGCCACATAAATTAACGATGACCAGTGGGATCTGCCAAAATCTTCCATTGTAATCGACATACTGATGGACATAACCCTAAGTAACTTCGAATTCTCAGGGACTGGTTTTCTCTCTAGAGACCATCTAGCATAGTTAAATTACGCAGTAACTTGCTAGGTGAAGACGCTTACAAAGTCAATGTTTCATAATGCCTTGAGTGGAAATCCGAGTATGTTCGGTATAGGTCTCAAAGGTGGCAGAGGTAAGATAATGCTCGAAGACTGGTTTGCAGTTACTCCTAGCTCAGTGATAGGGAGTAAAATGGTTGAAGGTGCTGACCACTATCCTTATTTAGGGGTGTAGATCAACCTAAGTAGGTCGTTTTCTGAGGAAATGTCAGCTCATATAGTAAAGGCCCATTTGGCATTCCAAAACTTATGCCTCTTATTCCATCGCGAAAATGTCCAATTACATATCAGGGTGTGTGATCATGTCTATCCTATTGTACGTCCAAGATATGAAAATTAAGCGAAAAAAGTGACTACAGTTTTCGTTATAGCATAGCTCGGTTGTGGTGTAGAAACATTTTGTGAGCATTGAAGAGGCTAGGTGCAAACTTCTAGGCAAAGAAGACAAGTCAATTGATGAGGTTGTAACCGTCCACCGACTGAGGTAGCTTGCATACTTGTTGTGCAGGTCAAGTCATCACCTACCTGAACTTGATGTTTGTCGAAGTAGGATTTTGTCAGGAGGAGATTACGAGAAGCCAGAACAAGAGGAGTTAACAATCGATAAAGTCTGTAACTATCAACCCTAGGTATGTAGGGAGATGTCAGCTAGTCGGTTTGGGCTCCTGAGACAATAAGAACAAACAGTTAGACTCTTGCTGATAAGGAACGAAATCGGTCACAACGATGTGGATTTACGCACTCTTTGTCACCTTGAAGTCTTGAGTTTTCTCATGGACCTTCATCTATTAACCTTCACTCCTCTCATACACTGCTGTCCACTGAATATCACTTTTTACATCTGCTATTTCTTTGTATATTTCTGTGAAGTGTGGCAACTTGAAGTGACTCATTTTCCCGCCAGGTTTGACTCTGTTTTGTCTCCTTGTTTTCACTAGGTGGTTTTTACTTAGTGAATATCGTGTTGCACTTAATCGATTCCATTAGAGAAAATGTTTAGTCCCCTTTATAGGTTACTTTGTGATGAACAACTTTTCTACTGCCAAAAAATTCAAGTTTCACTTCATTGTGAGTGATTGCTCACTCACCAATTGCAATTCTGAGCTTGTTTTCTCAATTTATAAACATGCAGCAGCTTATAGTCAAATGTGCAAACATTTAAAAGTGACTGTTTTTTCACTTTACTGGTTGACAGTAGTTTCCATTGACGAATATTATCTGTATAATTGCTGAAACTCCGATTGCCTGCTCAGTTGAGACCGGGACGTTACTTCCTTACTTCATAAGTTTTGGTATTGTATTTCTTCGAAACAGCAGTTTTTATACTTCAGTAGTGAGTCTTTCATAATAAGCGGAGAGTTACTGAATTGGTGGTTATGTAGTTTCAACAGTAATGAGTTACTTATCAACATGAATAAGTTACATCGATGCACTTCAAACTTAATAGATCTTTTCTTCCCACCCTCGACAACAAGTAAACAAAAGTAATTCAAAACCACAGAAGTATGATATTTGTGGAAATAAAATGTGTAAATATAATTCTTACAGAAATTAATTCAGTCAAGAAACTTTTCTTTTCGATGAATCATTTTGAGAACGTGTACAATTGCATTTATAGTAATAATAGACTAATCTATTTGTTTATTACTATAAATACAATTGTACACGTGCTCAAAATAATTCGTCGAAAAGAAAAGTTTCTTCGCTGGATTAATTTGTATTTTATCAGTGTCTCGATAGGAATATTTTCTGATCTTACTGAAATGCTTTAGAAAGAGAGCCAGTTACACAGAAGGTACTTTTCTAGGTTGTTTAAATTTCTGTTCTAGTTGAGTGGACATCATTATTCTGTTAGCCTACCATACACTTTTAGTGATGAATAGGTGAATCCAAAATGCCGATAGCATTTTTTGTGAAATATATATATATATATATATATATATATATATATATATATTAACAAAGTATTTTTAACCACAATATATTTTTATTTTGGGTTGAATAAACAACCTCCTATTTGTATTCTTCATCAAGTTTTGTCGCTCACATTTGTGACTGTTGGATTAGTATTATGTTTCATCTAAGCATATAGCGATTTCATATTAAGCGGTTAACAGTCGTTAACGGCTTCAATATCCTAGCCGTAGTCAATTCTTATTGGTTAGTCATATCAACTACACTGTCTTCCGACATTTGTCACATTTAGTTAGGAGGAAGCCCTCGAGTCTAATAAGACTTATCACTTAAGATTTCTAACACAGGAAATCCGTACATGCTCTGTAATACTGACTTATATCGTTCTGCATCGTAGTAAGAAATGTTAACAATGACCTATGGAAAGACTAAACTACTCAAGAAAATTCACTTATAACGATATCCATTTCATCATACTGTAAAGAAAATATTTATTTATTCCACATAATAAAAATTGTACACTAACTTAAGTACAAGATACATATTATGAGAGGAAAATAAATCATCATATCAATGAATAAAAATAGCCTTTAAAAATCTAATGTTTGAAAGGCTAACACATGACATGATTCCCACTGGGCATTAGCGAATCGTCCTACTAAGTGTGCTACCGCACAACCAATTTTACATGGACCAACAATAACTTGCCAGTTTCGACCATATTCTTTCTCTAAAGCTAATGCTATAAACTGTGGTATTGTTTGAAAATCAATTTGTCGTTTAACTGCTGTTTTAACTAGTTGACTTAGCTTTTCTTTCAATTTTTCATATGAATGTTCAACAAACAATGGTTCGTCATCTGGCTCCCAGTAATTTTGAAAGAATAGACTGTGATGATTTGAAACGACATTGTCAGAGGAATAGCTACGTTTTTGCATTGATAGCCTGCCCGGTGATCCTGATGATGAGGATTGTGAATGACGTGTAATATCTTCAGTTGAACGAAATTGTGCTGCTGCTTGACGGAACACGTCATTGGTTGAATCGAATTTTCCACTCAGCCGTCGATTATGTCGTTCACTGAATTGATGAAAAGGAATTTATTTTTAGGTAGTTAGTTGCTGTTTTATTAACTTAGAAGTGAGAGCAAATATGCATATTTTCATTAACTACACTGTTGCCCACTTGATGTTTTAGAGGTAATAATAAGCGTGTAGTGTTATCCATACTAGTTTAAGGGCATGTTGAATCCAGGGCCGTCACTGTTTTTTTTACCGCTGTAGTCTCATTTTTGTGTAGTTTATCAGCTAAGCTTAGTCCTGTTCATTTTCGGCAAGTACCATGTATAAGTGTGGTTCAAATTTTTGAGTCGGTATTAGCTGAAAACTAACATTCAACATCGAGTAGTCAGCATCTATCGAACCTTTTTCTAAAACTAATATCCACAATCTAAAGTCCATGAATAACTTTCACTTTTCTGTGTAATGAAGGTAAACACGAACAGCTAAATCGATCCAGATTAAGCCCCCAAGGTATTCAGTTTCAGTCAATTAGTGACAGAAATAGGTACTTACTGAGTCAAATTATTGCCAACTGGTTTACACAAAAAAATTAAAGATCATCTTAAGTGAAACTTGCTTTCTGTTGATACTAAAAAGAATCTGGTGGTTTCCAAGGGTACGCTTGAAGCAAAATCATTCTCTATTCTTTTATTTACTTACAACAGGAAAAGCAATAGTTACTAAGATAGGGTATGACACCTAGTACGTCTGTTTTTTATCGAATAGCTAAGTGTTTGTTGCAGGGACACAACCATATTTCCGTTGCTTCATAGTTTTATGATTCGAGGTACCAACACATACCTAAATGTTCCAAGATTATGTATCAAGTCAACCTAAGTTCGTACTGGAAGACAATTTACCGAAAACATTTACCTGGTGTTTCATTTATATTATATTGTGCAGCGTTACTGTTCAGATTCTTCAAAAAAGCCTGAAAACTATGAGGACCTTCAAAAGCAAGCTACCCACTCCTAAGTTCCTATGAAAGCCACACCATAGTAGGTACAAATATCAGATTGACTAATTCCGAAAAATCGACAGAAAATCTCATTCCAAAAGGGAATGAATAAAAAATTCATTGTATAGATGAATTCACTAGGACATCGTTGTTTGGTATATGGTGTTTATCTGTGGTTTTGCAGACAGGATGGTAGAATAATCGACTCAGAAACTAGTATCATTATTATTTTTCACTTGTGTTCCTAGTGGGACATAGAGCTTCAGTTGCACCTCTCCATTGCACTATGTTCTCTGCAGTCTTTTGAACCTGGCTCCACGACTACTCAGAAGCTTTCATTTCCTCCTCGCATGATCTCCATGTCACCCTCGGACGCTCAACTCGTCGTTTACCCTTTGGATTCCACTCGAGAGCCTGGCGTGTGATATCCCCAAACGGTCTTCTTAGTGTGTACCCAATCCATCTCCACTTCCTTCTGCATATTTGTTAGGTGATAGGTTCTTGGTTGGTTCATTGGCAGGCCAGAGTGAGTTCCTTGTTGCATATTCTTTCCGGCCATTTGATCTTCACTACAGAAACCAATAGTTTTAGTGTAATTTTTAGCTTCCGTGATCACTCACTTAATAACATAAGGTCTATCTAACTAAGCTATTTTATTGGGGTTAAGAAGCAGAAAGTGGAATAAGTATGTAAATTCCTCATCATAAATGCGAAATTCACTTACGAAATTAGTAACGACGAGTAAATAAGTGTAAATACGTATGGCTACTTAAACTAGCTTTCAGTAGTTCAGAGGTTTTTATTAAATTGAGCATTCATTTTCGAAAAAGTAACCGTATGAGGCTAATGACGTTCGAAAAATTTTCAGAAACGTTGCGTAATCTCTGTCTCTAAGACTATGTAATCCCTCCGCTTTCTATCTGCCTACCTAATTATTATTTATCATTCTTGAGCTTACTATGTACTTAGTATTTTTGTATTTTAATGCTTCACATTTTCATTTTACCTCTTTTCCAAGTTACATTTTTACCATTTTAAGTAATCAGTCATCTGTCCCAGCAAGTCAGAATTGTCATTGTTGTTACTTATGCAACATCTAGAAGCATTAAAAGTTTCAGTCTACTTCGACTTTACATTTTACATCTTTTTACTATTACGTATTTACTAAAGTTTCCCTAACTTCGAATTTACAACCCAAGTTCATTAACTTTTGTCTAAGTGAAGGTAATACAGAGCAATACAATCGATTCGCTTTGTTGCCTGAAGTTAATCATTACTGCCTTGGTGAGTTGGTTAATCACCTGCCATTTTCATTTATTTTACACCTGAGGAACTGACGAAAAATACGTGTATTAAAATTCTGACTACCTGTACATGAATGCATGTTTTCATTTTATTTATGTCATTTATGATTTTCAGCAGAAGTTAATGAAGTTTAAATCAAAATTCCTAGTATTGACCTGTGACCAGGAAAGTGCGCTGTAGTGGGAGTCATATTATGCATATACTTCGGCTTACTTTTGCCCAAATGGAAACTTAGTATTCTAAAAATACATTTCAGTTGAGAATATTCCTAGCTGGTGTTTTAGTGTCACATTAACCGTAACTTTCAATACAATTTATTGCAAGCAGTAGATAACTGAAGTTATGCTGATTTGAAACAGCTTAAATTTTATATCTACTCGTATTCTGTGGATGAAATATAAAGTTTATGGACATTAACTCATGAAAATGAATCATTTGACTACCAATGAAGATTTTTTCCCCACCTTTCGAATAAGGCAAGTAATAAGAATTAAATACTACTGAAGGCTATCGTTAGCTTAATTGTGTCAAGGATATGTAATGCATACGCCAGTTGGAAAAACGACTATATCGTTTAAAACTATCCTTCTACCATAAAATGGCTGCCTAATAAAGTCAATACATAGACGTACGTTTGCCACCATATACTCCATAGTTTACAATGAAATCAAAAAGAGATGTTTGCAACTTTAATCATTTGAATGCCTGCTCATAAACCTTTAGATCGTAACTCGCTTCTCCCAGGAATTGTCAAAAACAGACAAGATGGTCAAAAGGGAGAAGGTATGTAGGTAGAACAATTATGTACGGGACAGTTGCTTGATACTCGTAATTTCCCGTCGCCAAACTGGGGACGGGAGATGGGCTGATGTGTCGATGCCTCGATGCTGCCGGAATTTCATAATGCTGTACTCATGTTGGCAACCATCAGTGAAATGCAGGACGTATGTTTCCTCCTGCTTGGGCCTCGTCAGATGGATGCATCTGCACCCCAGTTAGTGATGTTGTTCCCACTGAGACTCCGACTAAATGCTCATCGCTTCAAATGCCAAAGTGTTATCCACTAAGGCACCAGAGACACCTTTTGTGCAACGAGTATCAGTTGTTGTTCTTGTTCTTGTTCCCGTTGCTATACACTATCGAATTGCTCAATCTCTTGAAAATCCGGCCGTATTGAAGCGTTTGTAAAGGAGCTCATCTGCCAGCAGAGGTTGAGCACTTCAACCTTGTATGGCAACAGGAAATTACAAGTATCAAATAACAACAACAACAGCTGATACCCGTTGAACAAGAGATGGGCCTCGTGCGCCAGTTGATAGTACAGTGGAGTTTGAAACGATGGGTAATGGGTTCGAGTTTTAGTGCGAACAACATCACTCACTGGTCTGTAGGTGCATCCAGTTGACGAGTCCTAGGCAGGAAGAAATGCATGTCATAGATTCCTCTGGTAGTCACCAACATGAGTATGCACAGAATACATTTCCACGTTTCTATATGACCTTCTGCGTATTTGGACTTTCAGCATGGATTTTGTTATGACACTCAGTCGGGTATGCATATGCTTCATAAATGGTCCCCCCAAAATTTAAAGGGATTACGATAGACTTTGAATGATTTCAGCAACTTCTGTCTCTTCTGAGCATTTAGGGAATGACTATCAAAGGCAACTCTTCACAGTTTGCGATACTATAACTGGAAGTCTTCCTTCATTACTGATAAAAACAGTGAAGTTTCTTCACGGTAAATCAAAACCGGTTAGTCATATGTAATGAAGTAGTATATACATTAATCGATCAGCGGAAGGAAACAGACGTAACTGTCTAGTCATTAATTTCTAGCACTAACGGAAGTCTGTCAATTAGGTTTGCAACTGACCACTAGGCTCAGTGATGCCACACTGCGGTACAATATATTTTGGAATTAGATGCTGAGAGTTAATCAGAAAGAGGTCCTAAACTTAGCTCTCCTGTTTGTTGGCGCTGACCTGCACGGCTGTATCCGGAACCATGAGGAAATGAGTATTTCCTTGATGAGTTGGATCTGTGTCACTCAGTTCTCAAACCTGAGACTTCATAACTAAGCTGTTCAGACAACGACTGAATTCTTTTGGGACTGGATTCTGTACACAAGTCACCAGTGCGTAAGCAATTTAACTGGCTAATCTTCAGAGCTCAGCACTGACCGCAGTGAAAATCATTCCTTTCATCTTTTTCATAAGTATTATTTTTGAGTATTCTAATAAGTAAGATTTAGGAGAGGAAAAGTTATTTGCAGATAAACCAAAACCAATAAAAATAGTCTCATTGGCGTCATTTAGATGACTAAAAATCTAAAACATTTTCCATATTATCAAAGACCAAATTAGGGTAAAACAGTAATCGGTTTGACTTTTTTAACTGAATACCAATTGTTTAGCATAAGTTAATGACATTTGTTTACTGAGTAGACAATATAAGTTATGTCACACATTTGTGGATTGAAGGCTTTTCGAAACTAAGAATAAATCCAGACTATGATGTGCCGACAAAAATCCTATGCATCACTATCACAGATTAAATAGTTAAAAGCTCTACATAAACTTATAGATATCATATTGCTACTACACAGAGCCTAGTTTTAAATTCCTAGTGAGTTTCTTCTCGAGGCAAAACTATCCACATGCAACTATGAAAAATGGTAGTCACAAAATAATGATGAACATGTAGTACTATAAAAGTGGGCTTATACTAAGCATTCCAAGATGTTTGTGTACACTTCAAATCAACCCTTTGTAGACGTGTAGATACCAAACTATGAACCATACTTATTGTGTAAGGGATGATGATACTGAGCCGTTACTTTAGCGAAGTAAATAAAGGTGAGCTTCACACCGATAGACAGTGTTTCAGGTCAAGTTTTTAAAATTAGTGCCCCACATCTTCAGCTACCTATGAACCATTACTTTTGTTAGGAAGACACGTAATGAAAATGAAGATTCATACTAGTCGAATCAATTTTGAAAAAGGTGTATTGTGTTCAGAACAAAACATGGCACCAGTTTACGAAGTTTCTGACTATTGGTATGAGTAATGTTGGTCTACATAGGTTTGTTATCTAGGGACCTTGAAATGTTATCAGTGAAGTTGTAGAATCTTAATCCTATGGCTCAAGACTACAAACGTTACTAAAAGAATCTACTTTTTATCATTTCTGAAGTAACGAATACAATATTAACCTTCATTCCTTTATTCCGTTTCACCTCTTCGATATCACTCACTTTTTTCGAGCTCAGTTTCTCTTCGTCTGTTGTTGTGATGCGTGGCAGTTTAAGGTGATAGACGTCTTTACAAGGCTGTATTTGATTCACTTTTGAAAACCAAATGGATTGTTTTTCCTGTGTCAAAGATGCTTCACCAAGATATCTATCACTTTTACAAGTAAGAAGACAAATTTGCAAAAACTTTACAAATCGTACGGTCCACGTTGACATTTTTCACACCTAAGTAGATTTTAAACTGCCCAACTGTGGTGTCAACAAGGTTTCCGCTGGAAACCATTCAGCTAAATCATAAGGTGTGATCTCTGACACATAAACATTATGGACTGGTGATTGATACTAATACTAAACAGCTTGAGTAGTTAGAAACCATCCTAGCTGATCTGTAGTATTTCCCCAGCCAGATCAGAGTGGTCTAAGCAACAGGCTGCCGTTTCGTCACTTCGAGACTGAGCTCATCAGCAATTTACCTAGAAAAATCCAGCTCATACAGTGGGATTAGTTTAGATCACATGAATCTCCCCAGCTTTAGATAACTGTAATCTGGCTGGCGAAATACTACAGACCAGCTTGAGTGGTATTTAACTACTCAATTTGTTTAGTAGTAGTATCTCCCACTTTTTTCAGCATATACTGATTCACTTTTTAGCTACTATTTCATGTCTTGCCACCTCAGCGCAACAGTAACTCAACTAAAAAGTTTTCTAGCAATTTTCTGGCCGTTAAGTTTTTAAAAAATTTTGTCATTCATGTCCATAAAGATGAGTCATAGATTAGAAGTATCTGGAATGATGGCCAGTGAGCTATTCAAAGGCTACCATAGCAACAAATGAAATGATGGGTGACTTTAAGAGTGGATTTAAAAAAGACTCTTAAAGTCCATTTCAACAACTGCCAAAATAACCAATCAGGTTGCAGTATTTTGGCTGGGAAGACAATTTTTCGTAGAATAGAGGAAAGTGATTGGTTATTTCAGTGGTTGCCAGGGTGGCCCTTAAAGTCGCTCGAAATAAACAATCAACCTTTTCTCATGTCATGATAACTGCCTTACCGGATAAAATAAGATCCCAATTGGTTTTCTCAGTTGTTACTAGGATGACCTTTAAAGTCAACTATGGTTACTGACGTTTTGTTCTTTATTCATTCTGCTGATGACTCATAGACGTCGTCAAGGTCAAGTAGAGATCTGTTTTCGGATGTGGCTAAAAGTTATTTCCAGGTAATATCACTCTTCGCATGGGATATAGCTATCTGTGCCCAAATTCACGTATTTTACGAATGGTGTACGCATATTTTACCTATTTTTATAGTTTTTAAAATGCCCTCTGTCAATGAGTCATGTTTCATGCCGTTTATTCATAAGCAAAGTATTGATTGCACTTCCACCTCCTAGTTAGGATGTAAGACCATTTATTTTATGAAGAAAAGTGTTCGCAAATCAAAGGTAATTGGATGAACAGCCTGCAGCAAAAAGAATTCAAGATTGCAGTTTTCACTCCAAAATATATGCTCGCAAAACACAGAAACAGGTACTATCACACAGAATACTATAACACCTGGGGGTAACTTTTAGCCTCAACTTCCATTTTCAGAGCGAATCTAAAGTTCATCCTAACAAATACTGAAACAACAAATTAGAATTCTATACCAAATACTCATCTTAATTTTATAAAAATCTCTCTACGTAGCCGAGGTTCTGAGGCGTGATTTGTTATTTCAGTAGCTGCTGGGGCGGCTTTTAAAGTCACTCTAAAACTCTGGGTTGCGCTAAAGGCCACCTTGGCAAACACTTCACTAGCCAGTTATGTTTCTCTTTTTCAGTCGAAATAGTTCTTCATAAATGAATAAGCCAAATCGGTTATTTCATTAGCTGCCAGAATGGTCTTCACAATCACAATATCATGGATTGTAGCGGACATATTTATGGATAGCTGGAAACGAATGACCTTAGGCAAATTTAATCCTACCTAGAGAATGTGGTAAACACATAAGGATGACGAATTTACTGTATTGAAATCAGAGCATATCCCTTATTCCATAACTCGCATAAACTCAGAGTTAGATGCGATCCAATTCACTTAAAAGTTAGAAGATGAACATGAAAGATTAGATCTGTTGGAAAGATTGTGGTTTTGATATTACTGTCTGCGGAAAGCCAACATATTCTAATAGAAATCTGAACTTCAAGTTGGCTAATAGAAGTCAGTTAAGGTAGATTTAGTGAAATATATAAGTAATCAGGCTAGATATCTGATTAACAAATAAAGATCCTTAACAGGAAAAGGAAACAGATAAAAGAAACACTAATACCCAAGAATATCTTCGAAAATTATTTTGAAATTCATAAGAACAGACAATGATGCAAATTACTGACTACAATGGAGAGGGGATTCATGGCCTCTATAGTGTTACCATATGATGAAGGAACGTTAGAAAGTCTAATTAGAGATCTCAAAAGGGTGAAAACTACGATAACATTAGAACCAACGCATTCTCTCAAGCTGAAAGGCTGCCAGGTTTAATTAAAATCATCCTGGCGCAATCGAACGAACTAATATTATTTGACATTATCCTACAATGACACACAATAACACCATAGAATGGCGCTGAGTAACAATCGCAGAGATGAATATGGTTATGTGGAGAAAGAATGGTTGATTACTGAATCTTCGTTCATCGAATAAACACCAGATCTAAAAAGTGCAAATGACACAACACCCAATTTGGATATATGAAAGGTCCCATTACCATTGAAACTAAAAAATGACAAGTGATACGATTGTAAAAAAAAAACAGGTACCAGGAATTGTGTGATCTCCTAAATATGCTTGTTAGCAATAAATTTTGCCCAAAATATCATCCAGTTAATGTTGTTTCATTGAATCCTAAGTCAAATAAACTCATTCAATATGCAACTGTGCTCTAATATAAAGCTTGGATTTTTACTTCTCGTAATAGTTTCGAAATAATTTTTGGGATGATTTTCAAAAGCTATATAACCTGAAACTCTCCAAAATAAATTTTTGCCGCCAAGACATTTTAACATGTGATTGATACATTTAAACCGAAGTCAGCCTGTTATACCATTTCACCTACTCAGAAGTATGTTTGGTCAATGTTTCATTTCAGTTACTTATCCATTTGAATGACTTTAAAGGCCGATCTGAAAGCATCTGCGATATCCAACTACGTTTCTCTGTTTCATAAAAAAATACCGATCTAGATGAAATAGAGAAGCCTGGATATTTATCTCAGCAATTGCTAAGTTGGCCTTTAGAGTCACTGCTCCATTTATTTCATTTTGATCTGAACACTGCAAAACATGTGGAAGGTTAATCCCAGAACCTAAACGAAATCAACTGGTTTAATGTATATTAATTTTCACTAGCACTTAGCATGCTGAAAAATTGGGATATAAAGCTTCATCAAGTCTCCATCACTGGTAAACTAAGATGACAACTAAAATCACACATTCCTTTACACTACCAAGAATTGATACCTTCACAACTCAGTAATAGACGAAATAATTAACTTCTCTGAGAAGTTTGATTGTGGTTTACTAAAAATAAAAAAAATTAATCCAATATTTGACAGTCTACTGAAACTCGGTGTTTACAGTGATCTATGAAATAAATGTTTTTGCTTAGTGATGGTTGAGGTAATCCAGGACGCGTGTTTACTACTAACTAGGATTCGTTAGGCGGGAGTACCTGCGTCAGAGTAAGTGATAATTTTCCCACTGAAACTCGGACTCAGCACCGGTAGTTCCAAACACTACAGAGATCGGTTAGTTTGGTTTAGTACAAGACTCACTAGGAGATTAAAAGCATCAGTGAATAAACAGAGGTGGCTCTTATGACTTAGTAACCTAGTTGGTAACCCTCAGATATTTGAAGCGATGAGTGCTGGGTTCGAGTCACAATTGAAAGATCATCGCTCACCCGGATTGAGGCACATCCTGTTGACATATCCGAAATAACACGGGAAGCGTGTTCTAGGGCGGCTGCTAGCCACCACTAGGTACATGACATCAAAATGAAACTTGAGACACTACTGAGATAAGCGTTCATGCAGCCCAAAGAACAAGAAAGACCGATCAGTTGGATCCAATATGAAAACCAGTGGCAAATTAAATCCATGAATAAATAAGGAATGAACGTCTCTTCCACAGATAGGATGAGCATTATAAGGTTAATATAATACCTATATTGTAAGAAAATTTCTGTTGTGTATTTTCTTACTCATAAAATTTTGGCGGAGGAACACCCAGAGTACGACTGACATCTTCTATGGTGATCACGCCTTTATCATTTGTATCGAACAGTTGTAACCATCTCTATTTGAGAAATGAAAAAAAGAAACAATTAAAACCTTGTTCAACAGGATTTAAGTTAGTTCAAAAAGTTCTGGAATCTTGAAACCTACCACGCTTAATGAATAGGCAAGCAACTGATTTCACAAACCACTTACATGTTCAAAATTAATCCCAGTTATTTTACATACACCACACTGTAGTGAACGCCAATTATAAAGATATATGTCAGTAGTATAAGGAGCAAATACATTCCATAAAGTGATCGACTTTTGAGGAGTATGGGGGTCAAGAGACAAAATATCTAGTACAAATATACAGAGAAAGAGCTATGTAAACTGCGATTACGAGGATATTTACCAAAGTGACTTTATTGTGGGGTTCAATATTTTAAAAAATTAAAGTACCGGTTTAATATACTTGGTTGCAGCTGACAGAGGAATCCAGGATGTGAGTTTCGTTCTATTTGTGACTCGTCAGCTGGATGTATCTGCACCCGAGTGAGTGATTTTGTTCCCACTGAGACTCGAACCTCGCACCCATCGCTTCAAACCCCAAAGAGTCATCCACTAGGCCACTGAGGCACTATAGTCGCCTCTTGTACAACGGATACTAGTCATTACTATTTGTTGATATGCTTGTGATCCTCCGTTGTCTTACAGGATCGCTCTGGGGTTTGAAGCGATGGGTGCGAGGTTCGAGTCTCAGTGGGAACAAAATCACTCACTCGGGTGCAGATACATCCAGCTGACGAGTCACAAATAGAACGAAACTCACATCCTGGATTCCTCTGTCAGCTGCAACCAAGTATATTAAACCGGTACTTTAATTTTTTAAAATATTGAACCCCACAATAAAGTCACTTTGGTAAATATCCTCGTAATCGCAGTTTACATAGCTCTTTCTCTGTATATTTGTACTAGATATTTTGTCTTTTGACCCGCTTACTCTTCACAAGTCGGTCATTTTCGGCATTCAGGTCAGTCAGTAATCAACAGACATATTAACATTGACCCAATCTGTCAATCAATAAGAAACACCGATAAGGTCAGATGTTCACGTCAGCAGGACAACCAATAGAAATAAATACGGAGACAGTGACAAGACTTTAGCAGAAACAACTTATCATACAATGCCATCAGGGCAAACTAAAAAGAAACCTGTGGAGAAAACCCTAAGGCTTACTTCTTTCAGAAGTTTGTGTTGACGATGTAGTCTAGAATAACAATGAAAGGTTCACGATTAAACCATTCAGATCAGAGAACAAAATACCATCGAACCATCCCCCTGAACTGTAAATAATCTCTATCACCCAAAAGGTTTGCTCATCCCATCTCCAAACTCCAACAGTTAGAGTGGGAACCACTGGGATGGATACATATCGAGGACAATGCAGTAACCTTAGACTATTTGCAGCCACTTTAATTAAAATTTGGGTTACACAAATTAATTCTGAGGAACAAATTCAATACAGGTTTAGCGCTTTCCTTGTTTTGTCTTAATTCAAGAATGGAGAAGTAGTATATTCAAAGAAGTTGAGCCTCTCTTTAGTTTCATTTACCATTTGGTGGCAGGGCTTAACTTCGGTCGCCTTAAGTTTATTCTTCGAGGAGATTAGCAATGCTAAGGTTAATAAATGTTACGTGTTTCTGCCGGCTATTAATTTCTCGCATGTTGTTGACAGTTGCAAACTTTTAACTCTAAGCATGAAATGCCACTTAGTCAAACATATTTTCGTCACTGGCTAAAAGATATATTGTAGTGGGCGTTGCAGATAAAAATGAATATAAGTAGTATATGTTGAGAGGGTGGCAGAAATCATAGGAAATTACCAGCAATAGAGAAGGATTCTGCCAAGGGAAATTCAAAAGACAATGCAGGCGTATGAAGAGCAAACCAAGAGAAAAGCAGAAGAGGAAATGATGCATATTTTACAAATGACGGTTTTAGTGCAAAGGTGTACCATGTTTAACGACCACTATCCCGCTTGTAAACAATAAGCATACCTTTCTTCGTATCTGTCTTCTTGCTTCTTTCCGTATGACTGCTATTTTGCGAAATGGTTTTCAGAGTGTTTTCTGAGATCAAACTTGAGAACCAGGAGTTCAGAAAGCTAACAAAGTGATTGCTAACTACTCGTTTTATTTAGTGTGCTACATCTTTTTATTTCATGAAATCTGCGTGTAAGGGATGGCAATTAGTGATTATAACTGGGTGGTCTTCAAAAAAAATTTTGTTGATCGGACAACCCGTTAGCTGTAGATCTTCCAAACTAGTAGAACTGTCTATATGAACTGTGTAATTGACATATATCTTGTAAGCTAAACAAAGACACAATGTTTCGAAACCTCTGTTTGATCTAGGGAGAGGAAATCCTACCATTTTCTACAGTCTGAGTTTATTCGCTAAATATTCCTAAATTTGATGTTTTGTATTGGATTTCTAAGAGTCCTTGGGTGGTGGCTGTAATTTCTCATTGGTTGTTAAATCAGACAAAAGTAATCAGTCTCTCTTGGCATGTGTGCTCTTTGAATGAATGATTCAATAATCATTCAGTAGCCCAATGGATAACGTTCTGACTTTAAAAAGGTATGTACTGGGTTGAGTCTCATTGGAAACACTAATCACTGAGACGCATCTCCATCCAACTGATGTGTTCAAAACAGGGGAGGAACATGAGTCCTAGATTCCTTTGCTAGCTGTCACCTGACGAGAACATGGGTGCGCACTACTGAGAAGTGTAATAATATTATGATGCAGATATCCAGTGCTCCCAGGTTTTCACTGGCTCTCCAACTGACATCAGTTCATGATAAGTACCACCTTCAAAATTTCTACAATTTTCTGTTATAGCAAATAGTCAACTATTATATTATTTAGAACTTACACTAAGGCATAACACTGAAAATAAGAAAATTGCGCTTAAAACGTGACCGCTGTTGATCGACTCCTAATGCTAGGCTAATAACCATTAAAATAACCAGCAAGGCTTTTGTATTTTGTTAGTAATGTACTTGTGCAAAAGAAACAAAGAAACCTAACTGGTTACTATAGTGGTTGCTAAAGCCATCTTCATATTCACACCACACCACAATTGGTTCTATGTACCAGAGTGGCGCCGTTTGCCATTTTCCGATTCGAGTCTACTAACAATAACTTCACACCAGTTCACTTACAGAGAAGACTGGCATATTCAACTAGCCCATAACGAATAATAATATATCTTCATACAATTAATTCCCTCTACAAATTTTCGCAACAATATATTTGTTAGAATGAATGTAAATTGTACAAGGCCTTCAAGTCATAGGTAGCTTCGCCAGAATGACTGCAGATGAGAACACAAGAAATTCAGGTTAACGTTACTCGCTACCGGTTAGTTCCTATGAGTAATCATCTTGTGTAGAGACGGACACAATGAAAATACCTGTTGCATAAATGGGCTAATTTCAGTCAAGAAGTTAACTTGAAAATCGGACTGGACTTGAGGAAGACCTACTACCTATGGTCCGTAATGATATATGTGCACTAATCATTTCCGAAATAGTAACCAGTGTCTAAGTGCTATCCTTAATGCTGATTAATAGATAACTATGAGAAAATGTATGACTTTGATATACATTTGCAAACCAATGTGGGCTTACATTTCAGTCCTACAGATGACCGATTACTGAGCATATGGCTCAACAGTAACATGGAATACTGAAACAGTTGGCGAAATAAACTGTTATCGTTCAAAGGAGAACATCATGAACGAGGTATGTGATGTAGAATTCAAACAGTAAATAAAGCTATGTTGCTCTGTCCCATTTCACACAAATAAATCTAGTGTAGCGGTTTCCGATACTTCTTGTTGATGACTACTAGGATGAAGGAAACATGGAGACGGAGAGTTCAGTCCACTTTCCTCAGCTGTCTAATACTTCTACACACTTCTGTCAAGATAGTTATCATCTACATAAATACAGGCAACAATTTTTGGATGGATTCGTGAAGTAAATTAGGGAAATGGAAATCCTTCCTATTTAACTCGAGATTAGTGTATTCATTTATTCACAACTACTTCATGCATTCTCATTAGTTCATTGAGATGCCGTTGAAATTAGTAATAGGATTCACTGGTGTTAATTCAAGAAGAGGTTAATACTCAAGAGTATAATTATTGATAACCTCAAAAAATGCAAAATATTATGTGTTGTGTACATTGATTTGCAAACTGGAGAGTAACAAATTTCATGTTTTCGGATAGTGTAGTTAAAAGACGAAGTTTGTCTGAACAATGTAATGTAATGTATTTGCGCCATACACTGCGAACAATCAGATGTACTGTGCAAATATATCACACTGTTCAGATCAACTTCATCTTCTAATTACACTACCTAAATTTGTGAAAGGGACTAATTGTTTCAAATTCCAATTTCATGTTGTCTAGTCGTAGATGTTGACTGAGTTATGTCCATCATTCTGATATCTGGTCACTAAGATCGGAAACTCAGCATCATAATGCACTTTGATTTATATTAGGTAGTTGTCGGCAATCGGAAGGAAGCTATAGAGCTAGATTTTCTGTTCGTTAGCACTCATCAGTAAGGCGTCTCCAGGTGCACCGGGATTGCGAGTCTTCCAGCTTGAAAATCAAGTTGCGAAATGAGCGGTAAGTTTCGATCAGCTCGTGAGGCCAGATTACATGCAGTCAATCAATATCCAGCGATCGCTGTATGTATCAAATTCAGTCTTACATGGGGTTAGTCGCTGCCCGAATAGCTCAGTGATAATCGTTGTCACAGCAACACTAGGTGACATAGTTTTAGATTTCTGAAAGAGTTAGTAATTTTCTTAATGTTGTAGATACTCCTCGCTGAGAGGTGCAGGCAAGCACGAAACTTGGGTCTCGTGGGACTTCCTACAGGTTGACTCCAACTTATCAACATACTGTAGACTACACTTTGTGAGGATGTGGCCAGCCACATATTGGTCGCTGCCTTCTTATTCAGACACCTAATGTAACACCTATATACACATAA